GGCGCACGCTGCCACTACTCCTGCCGCCCCTGCTGCCTGGAGCACTGGGTGCCCTGGCCCGGGCCCTGTGAGATGTGCAGGACAGCGGCTGGTCTGCGCCGCCCCTGCCTTGAGCCCCCCAGACTCAGACTCAGCCTGGCCTCCCTGTCCCTCCTGGCTGCTGGTCCTCCCATCCAGGGTCACAGGGAGGTGGACAAGAGGAGCAGGGGGTGCTTGGCTCACCACGCAGCAGGCCCACACCCTGCCTGGTGGCCACGGACCGAGCTCTTCCCGGGAAACCCAGCTGGGTCCTCCTCCCTCTGCAGTGCTGGGGCCCCTATGAGGGGCAAGCACCTCGGGCCTGGACTCATAGATGCCCCCCCTGGCCGTAGAGAGGCTCCCAGGCCCTGCAGGAGTTGGGTAGGAGAGGAAAGAGAGCTGCATGACAGGGTGCTGCATCTGAGACAGGTGGGACACCTGGAGGTGTGGGGTGCCGCTCCCAGCCTTGCCTGGCCTGGGGAGCAGGGGCTCTGGAAGCCAGCCTGTCCCTGGTGGCAGAGAGCTGAGGAGAGATGGAGCCACAGTACAGTGACCTTGGGTACAGGTAGCTAGGATAGGAAGGACTGTGCAAAGGTCCTGTGGTGGGTGGACTGGGCCAGCAGGGTCCCTCCACGCATGACACAAGCGTCTGCTCACACCTTCCTGGGGAGGAGAATGCCTATACGAGCCAGATCCCCATCTCACTCATGGCTTGGGGGCTACAGCCCCTTCCACCAGCCGGTCCCCACTTGTTCCCTGTGGCAGCAGATCAGGACAGCACCCTGCCCTAACCAAGCACGTCCCCTGCCCCACATCCAGGCCTAGGACAGGCACCCTCCATGGGGACACAGGCCTGCATCCTTGGTGATAGGACTAGAAGCGGATCTCGTGCAGGCAGCTCTCCATGGTCTTAAAGCCCAAACCCTAATAAAGTTTTCTAGGGCAGAGAGGAGCCCACAGCTCCTCTCTGCAGCACTCCCAGCACATGGGTGTGGAGGGAGCAGTGGGCGTGGGGTTGGTACTTGGCTGTCCCTGTCTCTGACATTCATAAAGTTTGTGGCTGTGCCAAGCATCTGGCCTTGGTGGCCACAGGAAAGAGGACAGCAGCAGTTGGGGCCCTGTCTCAGCCACATCGTCCCCAGATGGTCTGCCATGTCCCTCCCCTGTGACCATGGCACCTGTGAGGTCCTGGTCTGGTGGCTGTAGCCTCTGACCACCCTGGATCCTCCTTGCTCTTGGGTTCTGCCATCGGAAACTGTCACTGGGCCTTGCTGGGCCTCTCTGCCTGCGAGAGGCCAGGCTCCCACCATGGGCCGGCCAGACACTAGTGGTAACACAGCCCAGGACAAGTATGCATCCTGTGTGCAGGGTGGGGGACTCATCCACTGTGACCCCTGGGTCCCAGGGGAAGCCAAGGCACCATGGGAGTCTCTCTAGGCTGCAACACAGGGCAGACACCCCTCAGTGTTGGCCCACACCAGCCAGGCCACAGGCTCAGAGAGACCCGCCTACTGCCTCAGAAGTACCAGCTGGTGCACAGGTCTCTGGGACTTGGGATGACCACAGACACACCACTGTCTGGGCAACTGGGTTTAGGGGCCCTAGGGCCTCAGGGCCAGGGCAGCAGAGGTGTGGGGGCTGGGATGTCAAGAGGGACTGAGCTTCACATTGCGGAGAGGGGAGGGGCCCTCAGTGCTTGGTGACCCAGCTAGGTCTTTGGTTCCCCTCTGAGGGCAGAGGGGACCTGGGGTGTCAGTGTCCTCGGCCCCAGGGGCAGGCCGCACACCTGTAATCCCAGCCTGGGGAGGCTGAGGCAGGAGGATCACAGTGCATTCCAGGCAGCCAGGGCTATGTAGTCAGTTCAAGTCCAGGCTGGACTATGCAGCAAGACCCTGTTATAAGACAAACAGAAACAGGTTGAGACATCCAGCCCACACACAGCCACCCCCACAGACAGGATGGACAGGGCTGGGTCCTCCTCTGCCTGCCTGTGGCACTGTTCACTGCTGCCATTGTCCCTGAAGACAGGGCAACGCCCCTCAGGCAGCTGGGGCCACCCAGATAAGGCTGACGGGCCAGGTGGCTGCAGCCCGGCCGGACTCTGCCGAGCCATGGTCCTGGCCTCGGGCAGTGGTGTCCAGCCGGGATCAGCTCCTCAGTTCTGCTGCAGTGTGTGGCGGGGTATCTCTGGATGTTGGCTCTGCCCATTGGAGGGCACCAAGCAGGACAAGCTCCCCGCTACAGAGGTGCCAGGGTCCTAGCCAACTCATGCCTTGGTACAGGAGTCTGAGAGGCAAGGCCTGGTACTCTAGGAGGCTGAGGCAGGAGGACCACAAGTTTGTACCCTGCCTGGGCAATTTAGGGAGATCCTGTCTCAGAATAAAAAGTGTAAAAGGCTGATCCTGCTCATTGTGAAGGCCCAGAGTTCAATTCCTGGGACCAGAAAACAGCTCTGAGAGGACAGAACACCCTGCCCACCCTTTTGGTGCACTCAGGCCTTCCATGGTTTTTCCTGGAAGAATACAAGTCATACTTGTGATTAGGGACCTTAGAGGGCCTGTGACCTTGTGGGACTTGGCTCTGGTTCCAGGGTGCTTAGCACCTTAGCAGGAAACTACCCACCTCCGACTTCCTCCCTCCCTTTTCCTGTCATGCACCTTTCTGCAGTCTGTCCCACTAGCATCACAACTCCAGAGAACAACGCCATCTGTCCTGTATCTGCAGCCCACGGTGTTCTTGGTTTCTCCACCCTGCAGTCCGGGCACTCTTCAGGACTTACATTCCACTGTGCTGATGGGCCCCACACTGTGTTCTTTGTCTGTCTGTGCCTTGGTGAGCCTGGGCTGTGCCCCACTTTTGACTCTTGGAACGAATCCTTTTTTTTTTTTTTTTTTTTTCTTTTGAAACAGGGTCTTGCCATGTCATTCAGGCTGGCCTTGAACTCACTGTGTTGTCCAGGCTGCCCTCAAACTGCCTTGGTCTCCTGAGTGCTGGGATTACAGTCATGTGCCATCTTGCTTGGCTCTTTTGGGGTTTTGTCTGTTTTGTGCCAGGGATGGAACTTGGGCCCTAGTGATTGCAAGGCAGGTGGCAGAACCACTGAGCCAAATCCTCAGCTTTTTTTTTTTTGAGAAGTGACTGTATTCCAGGCAGGCTTTGAACACGCAGTGATCCTCCTGCCTCAGCCTCCCAAGTGCTGGGATTACAGGCGTGCCAGCATGAATTGCATAGTGAGGCCCTGTCTCAAAAGGAACTAGAGTTGAGCAGAGTGCAGACTCTGATCCCTGTCCCCATACACAACTCCCCTGGTGCCCACCACCTCATGAGGGATATGATGGGACAGGCTGTGTCACTGGCACCAGCCACGCCGATGTCTGCAGTCCAAGGGTTTGGCGCAGAGCGTTCACTGTCACCAGTGCCCAGGAGCCTCTCCCAGCCAGTGCAGCTCTGCACAGCTTCCTGTAGCCCCATGATCTGGAGCCTGGGCAGACTGAGGCCCATTAGTCAGGACCCAGACAAGGACAGCCCATGTGCCAGCACCTTGGCTGCCCCACAGGGTGCAGAGGGTGGACTGATGCAGGACAGCAGCTCCCCAGGGCCACTGGGCCCCTGCACCTCACATGGGTCACAGTGCCCCAGTCCCTCAGGTGTGGCTGCGAATCTGGTGCCCTCTGGGAGCCGGGCAATGAGCCTGTCCTGTGCAGTATGGTGCCCAGCACTTGGGGCCATCCTGAGCACATAGGACAGAGGTTTGTTGGCCGAGTGGGGCTGGTGGACGGCGCTGCGATAGAGTTCAGCAATGGCAGCCAGTGAGGGGACAAAGCCCAGAGGCTGTCACAACCCTCAGAGACCGGCGTGGGCTCCAGCAGGGGTCCCCACGGACACAGCTCTCCAGCCAAATCCACTGCTCTCCGGAAACAACGGATGCGACAGCGCCACCTCTAGGCAGCGCATGTGCACAGCAGGTCGGGGTCAGTCAGGGCATCCCCAACCTCACCAGCGTCCACTGCTGTGATCAGGACAGCGGTCACCAGCAGGGCTATGGCAAAGATGGACCAGGCCCTACCCTGAACACCAGTCAGCTCTGGCTGCAGTCACCTCTGGGAAGGAGGAGGCGGCGCACGCCTGCAATCCCAGCACTCAGCAGGCTGAGGCAGGAGCATCATCACAAGTTCAAGGCCAGCCTGGGCTACACAGCAAGACTCCATCTAAATAAATCAAACAAAACAAGGGCCCAGGGTGCAACTCAGTGGGAAAGCCCTGGCTCGACCCTAACACCACAGGAAGCCACCCCTGGCTGCTCTCACTTGCAGACCCACCAGACGGCCCCTCAGCTAGCCTGTGCTGCCCAGCATTGTGCAGAGAGCTCCGTTCTGGCTGTGCAGGGCAGACAAGGGTGGGCCAGCGCTGGGATTTGGCGGGGTCTGCCTGGCAGAGCACCTAGCGGGAGCAGGTGCCACAGTGGGGGCTGTCCGCCTACGGTCCGGGACACCCAGGCAGGAGTGAGTCATGTGTGGGTGCTGGGTGGTGCCCAGCATCGCTCCCATTTAGCAATTCACTTATTCACTTGGCTTTTTTTTTTTCTTTTCTTTTCTTTTGGTACTGGGGATAGAATTTGGGATTTTGTACTTTCAAGGCAGGTGGTGGAACCACTGAGCTAAATCCCAGCCCCTCACTTGGAATTTTTGAGACGAGGTCTCACGGTGTAACCAAGGCTGGCCTGGTACAATCCTCCTGCCTCAGCCTCCTGACTGCTGGTACTGCAAGTGGGAGCCACCACACCTGGTGCTTTTATTATTTTATTTTATTTGTAACATTATGAAAATCCATGAATTCCCTAACCTGCTCCTATGTAGATAGGAGCAGGGCCCCATCCCTCAGTCCCCCAGGGCAAAAGCACTTGTGTTTCTAGCAGCCCTTTCCCCTCCTGATAATGAACATACCAAGCATCTTCATCAGGGTGAGTCACCGTCATGTTGCTGTCCCTGCTGTGTGGAGGGTGCCACACCCTTATCAGCACAGGGATTTACCTCTGCATCCCTGCTGCTTCATGCAGGAAGCAGCTGCCTGTTCATTGTTCACAGATGTGTAATGTTCCACAGCACAAAACTGCTGTTATGTGTGACTCTTTGAGATTTCTACTTTTTCAGGTTTTACTTTTTTGTCTTTTGAAACAGTCTCATTATGTAGTCCTGACTAGCCTTGAACTCACAGCAGTCCTCCTGACTCAGCCTCCCAAATACTGGGATTACAGGTGTGTGCCACCACACCTGGCCTTATCAGAGGGCTATCATTCCTCTGACTGCCTAGTAGGTGGGCAGTGAGGGCTAAAGAAAAAAGACAGCAGAGACCTGCGCAGTTTCAAAGAGCTCAGTGCCTCAGAGCAGGCAGACAGAGGCCCTCCGAGTGGCACTATTTACTGGGTGCCTGCAGTAACTGGAGGGAGCCAGGGGCGGAGGTGGCCCTGTGGCCATCTTATCACACCTCTGTGGAGAGCACTCTAGACCGGAGGTGGGCAGCTGAGCTGATTCAGAAGCTGCCCCCCCAGACATCCTCTTTCATTAGCAGTCAGTTCCCGAAGAACTCTTCAGCTGATGTCACCTTGACCTTGAATGCCAAAGCCTCATGAGCCGTTGAGGCCTCAACTGTGACCTGGAGGCAAAGCAAGTTTCCACCTGCCCTGCCTTAGCTCGAGGGCAAGGTGACACTGGGCCTTAGACAGCTACAGTCACACTTTAATTAGGAAATGACTTCCCCAAATTTATGTAGAATGGCTATTGAAAGCCTGTTCTTATTCTTATTTTTGAGACAGGGTCTCACTATGTAGCCCAGGCTGGTCTCAAACTCACTTCCAACTTCCTGCCTCAGCCTCCTGAGGGCTGGGATTGCAGGCATGCCCACCCAAGAAATGGGTGTTTTTGATGCCACTCCCAAACACTTCATTATAACAAGTCTGTGTTAAAAATCATCCCGGGGTATATGTGAAGCAGCCCTTGGACAAGGGCATTTCTCACTGCTTGCAGTTGTCAAAGCTGTGGATTCTTCATTGTTTTCGCTCTGGAATCTTCTAGAGTTCAGAAACCATGTCCTGAAGATATGACTCCAGGACCACTATATCTTCTCTGGAAGGGACGTGACTTGCAGCGTGGCAGTTATGACTTCTGATGCCAATGTTCTGACTAACAAACTGAGGCTCACGCACAAAGGTATTTATGGCACTATCAGGAGCCAGAGCCACCACATGAGCAGCTGGTTACCGCACCGTGTGGTCAAACAGGCCATCCCTCAGCTCGGAGGACAGTGCCCCTTCTGTGCTGCATTGCTGTAGGTTGGCTGGGACAGCACTATGGCTTCCGGCTCTCAGAGTGACCCCAGTGGAAATGATGAGGGCTGGGAAGCCACATGCATTGGAAATAACAATGCTGCAGCTGTGTCAATGCTGAAACGACCATGAAGAAGGAGAAATGACTGAGTTGCCACTCACCTCAGCTGTCACAGTGCTGAACGAGACCATGGGTGTCAGCAAGCTGTCTGCTGAGAAAGGGGAAATCGCCACATTAACCAGAGAATGGGAAGATGGTGACCAGGGTTCTCAAGCAACAGGAAGTGGAACAGTTGATCAAAAAACATGAGGAAGGGGAAGGGGACAGGGATTTGGCTCAGAGGTTCCACTGCCTGTCTCAGAGGTGCAAGGACCTGAGTTTGATCCCTGGTACCCCCGCAAAAAAAAAAAAAAAAAAAAAAAAAAAAAAAAAAAACAAACAAAAACACAAGAAAACAATACTTAGAATCAATGGATAGTCAAAAAAAAAAAAAAAAAAAAAAAAAAAAAAAAAAAAAAAAAAAGCCAAAGCTCAGTGTGAGAAGAAAGAAAAAGAACAGGAGATGGAACCAAGGGTTTCCTAACTTGAGTGGGGCACTCCCAGGGTAGCCATCGCTCTATTCTGAGTCCAAGAAGGCTTTTTTTTTAACCTTGCACAGTGGAGAAATAAGACACGACCTAGTGAACTGGGTCCTGGTCTCTTCTGTCCAACTGACCAATTGAATAATTTACTGTAAGATGATGATGATCACTCTTCACGGACATCTTAATCTCACACAAACCCCTTTTTTGAATAAAATTTGGAAAGAATGGAAAAAAAACCCTGGGCTGGAAGTGTGGTTCAATGGCAAGCATTTGCGTAGCATGAAGCCTTGGGTTCCATCCCCAGCACCACAAAAACAAAGGAAAACAGCAGGGTGTGGTGCCACAGACCTATAATCCTACCACATGGGAGGCTGAGGCAGGAGGATCACTGAGAGTCCAAGGCCACCCTAGGCTACATAGGGAGACCCTATCTACAAAGAATGTAAACACTGCACAACACAAGTTTTAATGAAAAAAAAAACAGCCTGAACCTCCCCTGCTGGACCCTGGCAGCTCCCTGCACTTGAAGGGTGGGAGCAGCCTGAACACTGCTAAGGCACCCACCACAGGTGAGTAGACCTCGCAGCTGGGTCTGTGGAAGGAAATTCACTCTAAAGGGAGCAACGTGCCACCTGCCAGGTGTTTCACTTCACTACAGCCATCCTGATGACAGAGACACAACAGTGTCATTTATTTACTTTTATTGTTTTGGTTTTTTGAGACAGGGTCTCATTCTATAGTCTAGGCTGGAGTGAACTCAAATGACCCTCCTACCTCAGCCTCCCAAGCACGGGGATTGCAGGCATGTGCCACCACACCTGGCATGATTTAAAGGTTTTTTTGGATATGCAGGCCTGGAACTTGCAATCCTCCTGCCTCAGCCTCTTGAGTGGAAGGATTCCAAGTGTCTCCACCCTGGCTTTTATGTCTGGCTCTAGAACAGGCAGGGCTTCATTCAGATGCACGCGGAGAGGAGCCAGGATAGAAAAACAGAAAGGCAGGCGGGGGTGCTGGTCTGGGGCACTGTGCCCCACTGCTGAGTGTCCTGGCATTGAGCCCACTGGGAGGCAGGGGTGAACAGCAGAGGGGTCGCTGCAGCCTCCTCACTGGGTAAGGCAGGGCTGGGACAATGGGAGAGCATTAGGATTAAAGGTCAGGAGAGGCAACACTCCTGATGCTGAGGCAGGAAGATCACTGGGAGTCCAAGGCCAGCCTAAGATGGGAATACTTAATAAATTCAGGCCTCTTGAACTACATAGCCAGACCCTATCTCAAAAGAAAAATGAAAGACCCAGGGCCAGAGTGGGGTGCTTATTTCCAGCTGGGTAACCCAGAATCACGGCCTCTGCTGTCACCTACAGGCTCCTGGGAGTTCCCTGGCCCACCCACTGTAGAAATCAACTGGGTTTCGGGCCTCCCTGCAGAAACAGTGCTTGGGCTGAGTCAGTAAAAGATACACTCAAATGGTGTGGGCCCTGGAGGGAGAGGTGCCTGTGACCCCAAGCTGGGTACATTTATGGGGCTTGGAGATGAGCTTCAAGCATGTGTGGTGGTGCACACCTGTAATCCCAGAACTTGGGAGGCTGAGGCAGGAGGATTGCCAAGAATTTAAGCCTGGGCTACATTATGAGTTCAAGGCCACCCAAACTACATAGTGAGGCCCTACCTCAAAAAAGCTAACTAAATAAAGCTGGGCATGGTGGTGCATGCCTATAATCCCAGCACTCGGGAGGCTAAGGCAGGAGGATCAGTTCCGAGACCAGCCTGGGCTACATAGTCAGTTCCAGGTCAGTCTCAACTACATAGTGAGACCCTGTCTCAAAAATTAAAAAAAAAAAAAAAAAAAAAGTTAACTAAATAAATTCTGATTTCCTTGTCTCCCTTTGACCTATTTCTTTACCCCGCTCCCTGGATCCCACGTACCACTGCCCTATGGGAGGAGGCAAGGATTCACTGGCAGCCATGCTGCCCTGGGCTCACAAATGGCCAAGAGGCCCATGTTATATTTCAACACAGTAGAAAATGCAGCCTTATACCCATCCTAATTCTTTGGCTTTTTCAGTACTGGGGAATGAAGCCAGGCCTTTGTACTGAGCTATATCCTCACCTCTTTTTAAATTTTGAAACTGTCAAAGAACTAGTTTGCAGACTGGGCTTGAATTTATGATCCTCCTGCCTCAACCTCCCAGAGTGCTGGGGTAATGGGTGTGCACCACTACCACACCAGCCAAACTGAGATATATTTTACTTTGTTTTGTTTCTGTGGTGCTGGGGGCTGGGGCCTTGAACACCCCAGCCCCAGGCTGCCCTCACACTGTCCAGCGTCTCTCCATTCTTTTCCAGCCTTGAGATCAGGTTCCTTCCCTCAGCTTCAGGGCCCTCTCAGACCCAGCCAGTGAAACCTGGCCCTGCCGCTGTGGCACATTTCCTGAAAGGAGGATGTCTTTTTGTGTCTGCCTTTTCCCTTCTTGTTGTCATTCTCACTGAGTTCTATCCTCAGCCTTCTTTACTTTTGTTCTGAGACAGTGTCTGCTAAGTCCTGAAGTTGCTGGAGCCTCCCAGGATGCTCCACCATACCTGGCTCCTGTCCCCACCTGAAGGCAGGGCTGCCCACAGCCCCTGGGAAGAGGTGGCAGCAGGCAGGAATGGAGGTGGCCTGCTGCCCCAGCCCTGCGCTGCTGACCTGCCACGAGTGAGCAGGGTCCGGCTGTCTGCCGCCTGTTGTCTGTGCGCACGCAGAAATCCTGGCTGCAGCCTAGAGCAAAGGACCTGGAGCGCTGGACAGGACAGATGCTCCTGGGCTGCACTTGTGGACAGCCAGGACCTGTGGGAAGAGGACTCAGCAAGGTTAGCCGCAGAAATGCAAATCCAACCCAAAGACCATCACCTCATTCCTATGCCTGCTATTTATAAAACAAACAGGTCAGCTGGGTGTGGTGGATGCCTGGAATCCCAGCATTCCTTGGGGAGGCTGAGGCAGGAGAATCACAAATTTCAGCCTAGCCTGGGACACTTAATGATGTAGGGAGACTTTGTCTCAAAATAAAAAAATAAAAGCCGGTACAAGTCAATAATTCCAACATTGGGGAAGCTGAGGCAAGGGGATTGCCGTGAATTGGAGGCCAGCCCGGGCTACATAGTGAGATCCTGTCTGAAAATAAATAAGAATAAAAAATTTTTATATACATATACACACACACACACATAAATATATAACCAAAGGGGCTAGGATGTAGCTCAGTGCAAACGTCCTGTTTTCAGTCTTCAGTGTCTACCACCAAAAAACACAGACCGCTTGAGGTATTCAGCAGCACAGTGCTTGCCCTGCATGCTCTGAGGACTGGGTTTGAGCTCCACCACAAAAACAAAGAGGCTGGAGATGTAGCTCTGCTGCATAGCACCTGCCTGGCAAGCTCGAGGTCCAGAGTTCAATCCCCAGTACCAAAACAAATAAATAAATAAATAAACAAATGAAAAGAAAGAGCCAGGTGTGGTGGTACAGGTCTGCAGTCCCAGCACTCAGGAGGCTGATGCAGGAGGATCTCTGAGTTAGGCCTAGCCTGGACTACCTACTCAATTTGTGTTTAAAAAAAAATCAAAAGAAAAAAGCAGGGAGGAAGAGAAAGAGGCCAAACACACATTCTGTCTACATCTGCCTTCTTGTGCTAGGAGTGGTCAGATCCACGGGACAGAAAGCAGATGCAGGTGTCAGGGATGGGAGTAGGTTGGGTTCAGTTGAGGGCAGAGCTGTAGCACTGGGAGGTGCACATGTTCTGGACAGGGACAGTGGTGAGGGTTGCACAGCCCAGCAGTCTGTGCACTCAAGATGTTGGACCTCTCTTTTTCCAGTTTGAGTCAGGGTCTAAGTGGATCAGGCTGGGCTTGAATTTCAAATCCTCCTGCCTCAGCCTTTGCCCAGAGGGGTTGATTACAAATGTGTGCTACAACATGTGGCTAAATTAATTTATTCTTTTTTTTTTTTTTTTTTTTACAGGATTGGTGAACCCAGGGCCTTGAGCAAATGCTGTATCTGAGCCCTTTTAAAACATTTGTTTACTTTTTGTTTGAAGGTCTGGCTGTGTAGTTCAGGCTGGCCTCACATTCATTATGTAGACTAAGCTGGATGCTCCTGCCTCAGCCTCCCCAGGTCTGGTACTGCAAGTGTCCATCCCATGTCACATCCCATCCCGTGTGTCCCTGTTTCCCCCACCCTCAATGTTACCTTTCTCATCCACCAATTCCCTGCTTGGAAGTTCCCGAGGGCAGAGGGTATGGCTACTCCCTGCAGCGCCACACTGAGTTCCTTGCTCCTCCCACAGCTCCCAGTGCTGAGAATGGCAGCAGGTAGCCAACCCCGTGACCCTGGATGCCTTTTCACCTGGAGAACACAGCCCTCTGCCCTTCCAGCCTTTGGCCCCATCCAGGCAGTGAGCTGGCATCTCAGGGCCTGAGGTGAGGACACAGAGAGATGCAGGGTGGCTGCTTGGCTGGACCTTCCAGGGCACTGGGCTGTGTGCCCAGGAGCAGGCAAAGCCCTTCAGGAGGGCCTGGCCCTGTGCTGGGTCAGGGGAATGGGAATGACTGCCCTTCAGCTGAGGGCCAAGGACAGTGAGGATTATGTAGAATTATGCCTTTGCAAATGCAGATAAAAGGAGTTCAAATGTATGGGGGCATGGTGAAGCAATCCCATAATCCCAACTCTTGGGAGGCTGAGGATCACCATGAGTTCAAGGCCAGCATGGATTATGTATTGAGACCCTGTCTCAAAACACAAAATGAAAATAGCTAAACTTATACAGGCCTGCACAGTGGAAAGCACTGCCTCTGCTCCCAAACCCAGCTTGTAGACAGCTTCTGGTGCTAGGGGCCCACAGGCTTCTCTCACCTGAAGCTGTGGACCTCGGGCACACTCACCTAACTTGCGTATCTGTGAAGCGGGGATAGAATAGCCAGGCCGCATGGAACCACAGAGAACAAATCGGGGAGTGCCTGGAAGGTCGAGCGCTGCCCTACTGTCTGCGGACCGCGCCAGGCTCGCCCGTCGTGCAAGTCAGAGGGCTCACGGCCTACCAGGACCACTGACGGCCGCCTTCCCTGACCTCTGGTCTCCTGCAGACCGAGGGGCTCTTTCCTGTTTGGCACCGTCTGGGGCTCAGGATTTGGGATTCATGTAAAGTATCCTTCCTTCCATTTTTGGCTCTGGGGTCAAACCCGTGCCCACGCCTGCTATGCACGTGCGGGCCCCTGCAGCGTGTGCGCCTCATCTCCCAGGGTCAGGCCTCGGGCGCGGCCATACGCAAAGGTCAAGGAGGCTCCTGTGGGCTGGAGACAGGAGACTGGATAGCCTGAGGCCGCAAGGACACGGCGCACAGGGGAGCTGGCAGGGGCAGACCCGAGGAGGTCCAGGGCGGCCAGGGTCGCCCAGCTTCGCAGCCCCGCCCAGCCCCGAAGCTCCGCCCCAGAGTCCCCACAGCCACGCCCACGAGAAGAG